TAAAAATAATTGATGATTACTCTGCACATTAACAACACTACCCTACATATTGAAGTGCATAAGTTTTGGTGCAATCCTCAACAACCTATCCAAAGCATCGGTTGTGAATTTCCTTGCAAACAAGAAACAAACACTGCTTTTCTTCCCATTGTACTCACATTTGCTCCCATTTCTCAACTTCTCCAAAAACTCTGGAGTAATATGAGTTCTTATAAACTTTCCCGGGTGGGGCCCGCCTTTCGACCAGTCAACCCAAGTCAAACTTCTATTGGAATTCCTCTGCCCAAATCTCATACTTACAAATGTTGGCAAATAATGTTCGTCAGCATAACAAGAACCCTTGCAATAATTTTGATATACAGGAAAATATTTTCTGTCTGAGACAACTTCAATTGCAAGATCTCTATCGATCTCAAACCATTGGGAGCCTTTTCTCCATTGTTGGAGTTTGATCATTGGGTTCATTTGACTGTTGTACCTGCCTCGTCCGACCGGACCAGGTAGATCGTATGCCTCGACAAAATTCTGGGTAGAATTCATTAGGTATGAGTAGATGGTAGAAAAGTTATACAGGGGAATGCATGATTCGGAGACGAGAACAAAACGTTGGTTCGAGAAGTCAAGAAGAGCATTGGCTAGTAGTCTACGTTCGGCTTCAATCATGTTAGCTTGCCCCCATTCAACTTTCTGCATTGTTCAGAGAGAATTATATTAGTCCAAGTTTTTCAATGGGATAACACGTTGGAGTAATATACATACCAAGGCTCTAAGAGCAAACGTATTCAAATGCTCACACACTAGAACAAGGTTTTTCAAGACACGATAAAGAGTGAAAATGAGCAAATTAAATTAAGCTAACCTTACTAGGGATTCTTCTGCCATGGAAGATTGAAGATTCAGGCTCTGTTTCATTGAAAGAAGGGTCTGAATGCACATAGATTGAGTAGAGTCCTTCATATCCTTTAAAGAACTTCTCCCAAAGAGGCGCTAATAGAACCGGCCCTCTTGTCAAGAACATGAAGGCAATTTTCGAGTTGTAAGGAAAAGGAAATTCTTGAATTCTAGGAGTCATTGAGGCTCTCCATAGCAATTCTTCGTCAGTCATGTTATGCGTAAGGTTAGAAGGCCGTTCTAGATATTCTTTCGACCCAACATAGCTTGTATTTGAAGTATTCTTATCAGTGGGTAATAACAATGTTGATTGTGAAGTAAAAATGGAGAATTGGCCACTGTTGAGTTGGAGATTGAATGAGAAGCTTTTGTAATGAAAACAAAGGATTATACCGAAAGTCAAGCCGCAGACGAAGAAGAAAAACCAAGAAAGGAGATTAACTAGGGGTAATGGACCATTAATATGCTTGACAGCAGCAGCAGCAAAAGGACCTTGGTTCTGGTTCTTCATTCCGGTCGGTGGAGAGAGGTGGGGCGTTGTGGTGTTGGTGGTGAGTGGTGGAGGGAGGAAGAATCTTGGGTTTCTTCTGAGATAGGAATATCTATATACAGTTTCCCATTATAAATTACAAATGAATGGAAAATTCAGAGAAATACAGTCACTTTCAAGACTAGTATATTTAAAGAAGGTTAAACAAGGGAAGAATATTCAAAAAATAGGCATGAAGTTGGGAAGGAAAGAACTGTTCGGCGTGTTGAATTCAGAGATACCTTCACCTTTTTATCAAACTCAAATTGATTTCGGAAGTTGGCTTTCTTGACCATGGAATTAGACAAATCCACAGAGTCAAATTTGCATACAAATAGAACGCGTACAAGTGCACTATTCATATTGAAAAGTCGAGAATTTATAGTTCGTTTGAGATGGAAAGTTATCCGTAAATTCAGCATGGAATGATAAACGCGTTGCACGGGTTGAAAAGTCGAGAACATGATTTATATAAGAATGACCATTTCCTTAAATTCGGTATTGACAGATATAGAAGAAAATCTGTCTTTATTTCTCCAAGTAGTGATGTTACAGAAAAATGCAGTTCTTGCAAAAATCATTATTTTGGGGCTCGTTTGGTTTGTGTTTTAACTTTCAGTTTTGAGTTATGAGTATATTTTCAAATTTCAGTTTCGAGCATCTCTTTTAAGATTGTTAAAAAGGCATTTTGTTTAACATTTTGAAAAACTATTACGTGTTTGAAATTTTGAAAAATTATTTTATTTCATTAAATTTTGATTATTCAATAATATAGAACAATTTCATGTTATATATTAGCAAGTAATATATACGTTTTAAAATTAGTGAATCTTACAATATTTTTCTTGAATAAAAACATATAATAAATTAAACATCGAAATATAGGAAATAAAAATAAAACTAATGACAGAGACTGAGAATATTTTTATCTATGTTTATTTAAATATATTTTTTGAAAATTTTTGAACTGTTTTTATTTTTATTTATTATTATTATTTGCAGAATTAATATTTTTAGAACTTTAGGTTCTATTTTTCAGGAATTTTTTGAATTTAATTTTTTTATGATATATACATTATAATCTTTAGGATTTTATTTAAACAATTGTTGAATTTGATCTAAATTTATCCCTAAATTGTTGACTTAGATTTTAATCTATACCAAATAGGGGCTACATGTCTCAAGAATCCGACTCGATTACGTGATTATGATAATCGGAGAACAATTTTTCGAACACAAATAAACTATATGATCAAATAAATATGTTACACTATTATACTGTAAGATATATTTAAAAATTAATCTAGAAATAAAGAAATGTTTTAATTGTCAACTTTCAAGTCCCATGTGTAACGAAATGTTGAGTTTGTAACCGAGGAAGCTCGTACGTGTCAAAAGTCAATAAAGCAGCGCCTGTCTGGGCGTCCTTTTTGCGCAAAAATTAGATTTTCCAATCACATAACATGGCCAACTATCTTATGTCATCCCTATTTTCTAGAAGCGAAAATCAGTTTGTACAGAAATGAGTTTGATAAAAATGCTACCGATCTATTACGTTGGGGGTGTATCTCATGTGAATAAAATAGT